AAAAGCACAGAAAATAAAATGCAGAAATGGTCAAGTGTGAGGAAGCAGAAGAACCAGTGTCTCTGTGAACAGTGCCATCTGGTGTCCAGGCGTACACCTTGGAGCAGCCTGCATTGACAGCGCTGCTTGGTGCTTAAGAGGGCGCCAGTGAGCCGCCACATCTGTTAACAGCGAGTGTGTTTACACGCACTTAATAATCCAATAACTGCAGAAAATCAGATTTTGTCAGAAAATCAGATCTTCAAAAAAACATTGCACCACTTTACCTAAAAAATATGAACACCATCTAGAAGATGAAGAATATTTACATCCCTCATTTCATCAAGCAGGGCGGCAGGGCGGCACGGTGGCGCAGTGGGTAGCACTGTCGCCTCACAGCAAAAATGGCCTGGGTTTGATTCCCGGCCGGGCGGGATGACCAGGGTCATTTCTGTGTGGAGTTTGCCTGTTCTCCCCGTGTCTGTGTGGGTTTCCTCTGGGTACTCCAGTTTCCTCCCACAGTCCAAAAACATGCAGTCAGGCTGATTGGACATGCTAAATTGCCCCTAGGTGTGAGTGTGTGTGTGACTGTGTATGTCTGTCTGTCAGCCCTGCGACGGACTGGCGACCTGTCCAGGGTGTATCCTGCCTTCCGCCCAATGACAGCTGGGATAGGCTCCAGCACCCCACCGCGACCCAGAAGGATAAGCGGTTTAGAAGATGTCTGTATTTCATCAAGCATGTAATTGGTTTCAGTGATGCTCCAAAAGTATTTGCTGCTTGTTTATTTCCAGTTCTGTGGTCTGTTTTCACACATCCGCAGACTGAGAAATCCAAAAGAAATCCAAATAAGAGTTTACATGCACTGAGAAATCTGATTATTGAACTAAAATCAGCTCTCTTTATTGGATTTCTTAATCGGATTTCTAGATTAAAGTATGCTGTTTAAATGACCATTTGAATAATCAGATAACTGCAGAAATGCAATTATGGTCAGATTATGGTCAGAGGATCTCAGAGCAGCCTTTATTGACAGCACTGCATGTTGGCCCAGATGACACAAGTAAACCAAAAAAATCTATGTTGAGCAATAAATTGTTAAATATTTTTATGTATTATTGCTATGCCCAAGAAACTACTACAACTGGCAACAGAGAATCCTCAAACTTTAACACTCATTAAGAACCTGAAGATTTACAACTATGCACAGTTATGCAAATTATAAACATCCCCTTGCCTTTCGGTTTCCAAACCCCGACCCTTCCCCCAACTGCGAATGGGCAATACAGCCTTCTATGTTTAAACAGATTGAGCAGATGAGTTGCAGCAGAGCAGAAACTAAAATGAGCTCCCACTATAACATAATAATCATAAAATAAAAACGAAGATCTCTAACGAGATCTTTAGTTTATCACCCAATAAATGCTTAACCATAAATTGCAGAACAATTGCTAAATGTTGCGGAGGGGCAAGAATGTATATAGTGAGGCCTTTGTTTTATGGCCAACATGAAGCATATATGTAGTGAGACCATTTTTCATCATTGGCAACATGTAGCATGTATATAGTGAGACTTTTTTTTTTATCATGGCAGAGTCAAGCCTGTAAAGCATCATGAGTTCCACTAAAAACATGTTGAATATATGTGCACTCAGCCCTTTACCACACAAATCCACCCAGCATTGTGCTTCACAGAAGAAATACAAGATATACAAGTGGAAGGCAAACTCACTGCAGAGTTAAAACTGCCTCTTTCTGTACAAGAACTGTGTGCTGGGAGCTTCTTGAAATTTGTTTCCACGGCCAAGGAGATGCACACAAGCCTAAGATCACTATGTTCAATGCCAGGCGTCAGCTGGAGTGGTGTAAATCACGCCACTACTGGACTGTGGAACAGTGAAAACATTCTCTGGAGATATGAATCATGCTTTACTATCAGGCAATCTGATGGATGAGTCTGGGTTTGGTGGGTGCCAGGAAAATGCTACCTCCTGGAATGCATAGTACCAAGAGCAAAGTTTGGTAGAAAAGGGATAATGGTCTGGGGCTGCTTTTCAGGGTTTAGGCCCCTGAGTTCCAGTGAACAGCAATGTTAATGATCCAACAGACAAAGATATTTTAGACAATTATATGCCTCCAACTTGCAGCAATGGTTGGAGGAAGGCCCTTTCTTGGTCCAGCATGAGTGAGCCCCAGTGCCTATAAAGACATGGTCTGATCAGTTTGGGGTGAAGAAACTCCAGTGGCCTGCACAGAGCACTGACCTCATACCAAAACTCCATAATAATGGAGATCCATTCGGAATGTATCCAACAAGGTCACACAGGTGTGATGGTCAGGTGTCCACATACTTTTGCCATATAGTATATACAGAAGAAACAACAAATCTCAATGAGATTCCTTTAATTGAGTTTCATGTTGTTGAACTATGTGGAAAACTGGTCTGGCACAAATTGTACTGTGTGTGACTTAGTGGCACACGGCACACATACCTCACAAATAAGATACCTGGATAAAACCCACGCTGTACGGCACATCACATCTGCTTTGTAACTCGAACTGAAATGACCACTACTTCCTCTTTAGGACTGTGTTATGTAGGGGAGAACTATTCAGTTTACTAAATGTTGGTTGCACGTGACACACCCTGCTGGGACACAGGAAGTGTAGCACCCCCATATTTCAGGATTGCAACTGCTAAAAATTATAATAAAATGATCTTAATTTTGTACTAATTTGAGCATAGTAAAGACGTGCTTGTTTTACAGTGGAGTTTGTATTTTTATATTACATTTTTGTATTTTTTGAACTTGCAGTAGCTCTGCACTGTACCTACCAGCTGTGGTTGGTATAGTGTAGTGGGTAACACCTTTGCCTTCTGTGCTGCAGACTGGGGTTCAATCCCCCATCCAGACAAGCACCCTACCCTTTACCAATAAGAATCCATGGGTAAGACTCCTAACACTACCTTTGCCTAAAAAATGATCAAATTGTAAGGCGCTCTAGGTAAGAGTGTCTACCAAATGCCGTAAAAGCACTGTTTAACCCTCCTGTTACATTCAACTGTAAAGAGCAGCAATAATGTTTCAGGGTCAAATTGACCCCAATGCATGTTTAACCATCCAAAAGTAGTTACAGATATATTTTTCTTCATAAACATTTAATTCATATTAAACAAGTTTTTCACCCCTTACAGATCATGGTATTTTATAATAATTCACTCGTTTTTCTTTGCAAATTATTATTATTATTATTATTTCTGTAAATTGACAAAAATTAGAAATTTAACAAATTTGTTTTATTTGTTCTTCTTTTTTGTTTGACTGTTTATGCATTTTGACATGGGAGCATGTGGATTAATACGAACAAAACATCTCTTCTGTTCTGGGTGAAATTGACCCTTTCAATTCAAATCACACAAAATGAGCCATAAGCGTTATTTTAAAACTATATATTTTTTTTTTCAACAATTTTTAAGAAACCTAAGCAAGAAAGAAAGAAAGTTTGGTGTATGTGTGTGTGGACCAGGTTTATGCCACATTATGGGGACCATAACCTGTTTATGTACTCATGTTGTGAGGACCTTGCTTCCTTATGGAAATAAATAAATTTTAAGGTGAGGGTAAGGATAAGGTTAGGGTTAGGGTAGTTCTGGGTAAGGTTAGAGTAAGTCTGCAGGAAATGAATGGAAGTCTATGTAATTGCCCCACAGTTTATAGGAATGGTGTGTGTGTGAGACTGTCTGTCTGCATGTGTGTGTGGGCAGGAAGGATTAGGCAACCACACTGTGTCTCAAATTTCAAAAGAAACAAATCAGTTTTGGCCTAAATTTGATACTTTTACCCTTTGTATCCTCCATTCTCACTGCTGGGTCAAACTGACCTGAACATTATGTGTGTAATATAAACATGTAGGGGGTTGCAAACATGGTAAATAAGTCATTTTACATTAACATATTTATTACACTAATTAAGCCCAGCAGAAAGGGCTTCATGATGCAAAAATTATTAAAAATATTTTTCCTGTATTTTTAATCTTTGAAACATATCACTCTGACATAACACAACGTAAAACATAACAGGACAGTTAAGTGAATGGCTTACTTTCATTACAGCGAGCCAACAACTGCTAGCCTCTTTGGGGGCATGTTAAAAAAGAGCTATAGGTTAGTTGTGAGACCCACAGCCTAATATTGGGCCTCATTCTCCAATATCTTTATAGGTTATTTCTGAAACTTGTTCTTGAGAAAAAGTCTATGTCAGATTCATGATGTGTTCTTAAACTACACTACTGTTCTCACCTTATGCTCTTAAGTGTGTTTAGATTCTGTTCCTACAAATCCCAAATAAGTAATGTTAGAATCTTTGTGAAAACTGTGTACGTGGATTTTAAGAAGAAATTTCTTCTTAAGAATGGTTGGTGAATGAGGCCCATTGTTTTTTAAATCATGCAACATAATCAAGTTTTTCATCAACTGTCACATCTCCTGCTCAGTGTGCATTTGTGTTAAATCCCACCAGGTGACTGTGGCCATGACACAATGGGTTAAAATGTGACCTCCAGGGGTACTACAGGTAGCCATGACTGGAAAAAATGCCAGAGATGGTATGAGGAAGAAACTCAATTAAGCAAGAGCATTCCTAAGAACTGTTGTCACTTGGAGCAGGATAAATTCCCCTTTAAAGGGTCTTTTCTTATGACAAAGGCTATCTACTTAATAGAATAAACTACTGGAAGGAGGAGGACTGGAAGACAATAAAACTGGTTCTATAACACTCATTTCCAGTAATGGCAGCAAAGTGGAACAGTGCTAAAGGACATTTTACACTTACATCAGTTTTGTGTATTTATTTATAATATGGGCAGACAAACATGTTTCACATTGATACAGATGTTCTTCCACTGAGACAGAGAGAGAGAGGGAGAGCGAGAGAGAGAGAGAGAGAGAGAGAGAGTTGGTGAGTGTGGGTGTGTCCCAGATGCTCACGAGGTATATATAAGGTTGAAATGTTGTAAGACAGTTTCAATGTGAGTGACGATGGTGATGTCAAGGACACTAAGTGTGGTGCTCGTCATCAGCTTCTTAGCAAAAGGTAAGTTCATCAACTGCAGTACATTTTCATGTGTTGCTGCTCACTTGCCTACTGAATAAATCACAATTCTTTCTAGGCTTCTTGTTTAGAACAGAACTCACCAAACCAGCTTATAAAGGAAATAGAAGGATATGTTTAGTGTTTATGTCCAAAGAGCACATAGACAGGTTTCGGGTTGATCTATACACTGACGTTATTCTTAGTAAAATTGCATTTTCTGGTGGCTTGTTCCCCAGCATTGTAGTCATGCAGTAAACTGTCTACTGGGGAACATTTTAGCATGCGGCTGTAATTATAAATTGTTTTCATCGTTGTGAATAAAACAGATTCTCGCACTGTAAAAACCTGGCATTTCAATCTAAAACAAGCAAATAGGCCCGTTTTTCTTTAGAATGTTGAGTTCACTGAACCTCTAGTAGTACATTAAAGGGAACCTCCACCTATTTTTCAAAATGTCTGCACCATTAAATTATTAAGATGATGATCAATGAGTAATGAGTATAATTTTTAGGAAGTAAGGAAGTAAGAGAGAATAATTAGTGATTTGTGTGTATACACACACACACACACACACACACACACACACACATATATATATATATATATATATATATATATATATATATACATACATATATATATATATATATATATATATATATATATATATATATATATATATATACACACACACATTTAAGAAATCCTGATCATTTATTTTGTTTAGGGAAACAAAACATATGGGGACGGAACTGCAAAAAGTGCTATACTTTCCTGACCAGTACAAAACAAAAAGCATTACCCAGATATAAAAGATTCTGTTATTCTTAATTCTGGATCCCATTTTTTCATTAATCCCTCGAACCTACAGCAAAAAATCCACTGTGCCATGAAAATGTTACTGAATGAGTAACTAACACTAACTTTGTTCTTTCTGTTTCAGTGTGCCACTCACAGTTGGGTGGTAAGTTATTTATTATAATTATGAAATGATATGGATACATAAATGAATAAAAGTGCAGCAATTAATATGTCATACTCAGTGCTACATACAATAAAATACGAATCGCAAGAACATATGTTGAGAGAGAAATGTTGTGTTACTACTGGTCCTCTAAAGCCACACTTATGATAACACATCAATATTTAGTGCAATTTAAGCAAGACAGTATAAGACAGCATTGTATAATTTACAAGACAAGACAGTGCAAGACAATCACAAACACATAAAGTACAGAGAGGGAGTCTTCCACCTAATTAGAATGTTGTTCTTATCTCTTTGCCAGTGTGCGGTGTGGCTTCTCTAAATACCAAGATAGTGGGAGGACAGGATGCTTCTCCAGGTTCTTGGCCTTGGCAAGCTAGCCTGCAGATTAGTGGTTTCCATTTCTGCGGTGGATCCCTCATCAATTCTAACTGGGTTCTAACAGCAGCTCACTGCTTTGCAAGGTGTCTAAAAAAATTCCTAGCTGTTTATGTTTTGAAACTGGTGTTTATTTGATGTCAATTTAATGAGATGTGAAATGCATGATCCCCCTAATTGACTCTTGGACCTACAGAATGTTAATAAAATCAAAATTCTAGGGGGGTTTGGGTAAAATGGTAAAATTGCAGGGTAGGGTAAAATACAAACTCAGGTCATTGTTTATCCTGCTTCACCAATGAAATGGCAAGCTTTTGTCTTTAATAATGTTAATCAACTAGTGATGCAACACTGCCTCAGGGTGGCGCTAGGGGGTATTTTACACATTGATTTTAACCTAATCTAAACTACTTGACACAAACATTATGGCCGTGCGAACGGTAGGTGGACATATATATATATATATACATATATATATATATATATATATATATATATATATATATATATATATTATATCCATACACTGCACATACAAATGCTTGTATATCTACATTTAACAGCTAGTGAACCATCCCATATGTAAAAAAATTATATTTCCATATTTTTTCAAAATATGTTTGTGTATATATTGTGGTGTAGGACATGTCACGGATAGGATAGGGTCCCAACGTGATGTGTCTAACTCAGCAGTTGAAGACACTCATACAAATCATTCATATTCATACAAAGCCAGTCAGTTCAAATACATCTGCCATTTCGATGGTGCAGGGAATTCGTCAGCTGATCTGCAACAGTTTGAGCTGGTTGCAGCAGCAGCGGGGTGTAGGAAGCAGACAGTAGCGGTTCAATTAGCCTCAGCATTGGAAGGCTCAGCCCTGTAGGTGCCCCGTGGCCAGCCTGCGGTTTGGTGAGCGTGTGTGGCTGGTGCACGTTAAAGAGAGACTCTAACAGAGAGAGAGCTCCAGTGTGGAAAGAAGCTGCATCTGCTTGCCACCGATATAAAGATTATGGTGGGGCTTAACTTCGGGAACTACCTGGCTGAGGTCTGTACTGATACAGCACCAGCAGCAGTTGTGGTTTGTAGAATCAACGCGTCTCACTGCGCTTATTGATACAAGCTCCCTGCTGTAGCCAGGTGTGCTCCCACACACTGAGAAAGGCACATTAGACAGCTGGGAGGCAACCAACATCCAGCTCAGTTCAGTTTCCGAAGGCTGGGTCTATCTGAGGGGGACGATGTGGCTCCTGGTTGTCCTGGGGGTCTGAGCCAAGAACATGAGTTTGGCTTGCACCCATACAGGATGCATGCATAATTGGCTCAGATTTCCTGGTGGCAGACGGGGCCGTGTGAAACGCTGGGCTTGGTGACAGGACGAGTGAAGCCATTTGGAGCAGCTGGCAGTGGGACCAAAGCAGAGAGGCGGAGCCCCAGCACAAAAGAGCAGCTTCCTCGCCTGTGTTGGCAACAGAAGGGATGATGGAGAGAGCAGAACTAAGACTGGAAGATCCAGGGCCGGGAACATCAGCTAGCTGAGAGAGTCAGCTGCATGGTGGTACCTGGAGTGTGGTGGAAGCCCCCCAGCCACACAGAGAACCCTGTCTATTTCCCCCGTGGTGCCAGAGTGCTGTTGAAGCCCCCCAGCAGCTTTGGAATTACCACGGCATCCCTCGGTGGCCCAGGAGGACCTCAACACCCCAACAGCCACAGCGATCAGCCCAGAGGTCTTTGACCTGTGCAAGCTCTTCAGGGAAATCCCGCCAAGCTCCCCAGTGGCACCAGAGCACTGTCAAAGCCCCTCAGCAGTTTAAGACTCCCCTCAATGGCTATAGGGGACCCAGGAGGATCGCATCACCCTGATGGCTGCAGGGAATGGGCTAAAGGCTGAGCCCAGAAGGATGCTGGGTACCCTTTGAATTCAGGTGCCCTTTAAGAGGCACCTATTTAATTTTGGCTGCCTTAGTTTCACCTTTACAAGGACTTTCAGGCTGAAGAGGCTGAATACAGGTAAGGTGGTGGTTTCTTCTGCTTTGGGAGTTTTCCTCTTTAGAGAGACAGAAGGCTGTGTTTGTTTTTGGCTGTTGACTAGGAGTGGCTGTGCTCGTCTTTCTTTCTGTTTTGCGCTGTTGCCAAAAACCTGGTATTAATGCTGTTGTGAACCATGATCTTGTCTCCACCAAGTTTCTTCGAGGACCCCCTACATTACAGTATTTGACATACAACCCCATTGCCGAAAAAACTGGGACACTGTGCAAAATGTAAATAATAACAAAATACAAGGATATAGAAATAATTTAAACCCTATGGTTATTTGAAAACAGTTCAAAGACAACATATACAGTGTTGAAACTGAGAAATTTTATTGTTTTTTGAAAAAAATATGCCCATTTTGAATTTAATCCCAGCAACACATTTCAAAAAAGTTGGGACGGGGCAACAAAAACTGGTAAAGTTGTGTAATGCTAAAAAACACCTGGTGGTTCATTCGCAACAGGTCAATAACATGATTGGGTGTAAAAAGAGCATCTCAGAGAGGCTTTCAGAAGGAAAGATGGACAGGGGTTCACCACTCTGTGAAAGAATGCACAGGCAAATAGTGCAACAATTGAAGAATAACGAACGTAAAACAGCAAAGAACTTGGGAATTTAATCATCTGCGGTACATAATATCATTAAATGATTCAGAGAATCTGGAGAAACCAAGGGACAAGGCTAAAAACCAGTATTGCTTCGGGCCCTCAGGTGGCACTGCGTTAAAAACAGACATGATTCTGTAGTGAAAATCACTGCATGGGCTCAAACACTTCTGAAAAACACTGTCTGTGAACACAGTTCATCACTGCATTCACAAATGCAAGTTTAAATTCTAAAATGCAAAGAAGAAACCGTATATAAATAGGATCCAGAAACACCGCCGCATTCTCTGGGCCTGAGCTCATTTAAGACAGACTGAGGTGAAGTGGAAATGTGTCCTGTGATCTGATGAATCAAAATTTGAAATTCTTTTCTGAAATCATGAACGCTGTGTACCTTTCATGATACTTAGTAACGTGTGATCGTTGAATAAGAAAATGGACAAGCTACAGGTAAACGCTACAGTACCCTGCGGACACAGAGAATCCCGCATCATGGTATTAACTAAAACACAGCTGTAAGAGAATGTTTCGGACAATTTACCTAAGCTCAATGGATGGGTTTTCACTGCTACGAATGGACAGAAGTGACTTTTCAGGGAACAGCCAGGGCAGTGGCATATGTGTGTATGTAAAGACAAATGGTGTAAGCACCACACATTGAAGCAGACGCTATGTAACTGTAATACCAAACTGCTGTATTTAAGTCTAATTAAGTAGTTAAGTTCATTTAGGAGCAGGGAGCCATTTGAGATTCAACCCCAGCATGGGAAGATGAGTGCTCTTAGTTTGGTGCTAAATAAGTCTAGAAATCACACTGAGGTGCTAATGGACATTAACATTGTCATCACAGTGGTAACTTAGTGACCAAAAAGTACTTATAAAGCAAAGGCTTTCGCATTAAACAGTGCTATGATACGCACAATGATATGTTCATTATTAATTGACAAAAAGTTAAGAGGTTCACTCTAACATTACATATCATGGTATTTGTCCATATAAAGAGTTTTGTGGGCAGGGAGACAAGTCTGCTAGCCCAGTGACTATTGCCATGGCAGTGTCCATGAATACATATACTAGTCCCACTTTCTTTTTGAAACATAAATATTGCAGAAATCACTGCCATGTTGTACAAAGACACAGTAACTACTTCAGGTGAGGCAGCAGCAGTAAACTTAGCTAACGTTACGCTAATCTACCTTCTTTTTTCAGCATTACTGCTCCACAAGTGACCGTGTATCTGGGTGATCAGTCACTGAGCACTCAGGGAAGTAACCCAAATGTAGTGACCAGATCTGTTTTGCAAGCCATCAAACATCCCAGCTACAATTCATCCACGAATGACAACGACATCGCTCTGCTGCAGCTGAGCTCTAGTGTGACCTTCACTCCTTATATTACACCTGTCTGCCTGGCTGCAGCTGGAAGCACATTCTTCAATGGCACTCTGACCTGGGTCACTGGCTGGGGAAACATTGCCTTTGGAGGTGAGAAATGAGAATGTAGTAATTGTAAAGCTAAGGTCAGTATCTCTGCTGTTAAAAAAAAAACACATTTAATTAAAGTTTATGTAAAGAGAGTTTATTCCAAGTAATTTTTGGAGCATTTCTATTGGTCTATTCACTATGAGATATTCACACAATATAAATGACTGCTGAAGTGTACAAGTGATGTAGGATAATAAAAATAATAAAATTAAATAAATAACAAAAAAGCTGGGTTTTGGACAGTGATCATGTGATCATGTCTACCATGTCAAAGCTGCCAAAGTAGGTTGTTCATTAGTACATGCTTTTTATTGAAATGATAAATAAATGTGGATCAATAATAATAATAATAATAATAATAATACATATTTTACATAGCATGATTAATTTTAGTTACAAAATCTCTTTGTGCTTTACACAGCACTGTAAGTCCATTTTGCAGAAACCTACATCTCATAGTGAACAAAATAACTGTCAAATACGAGCATAACACCAACTGTTTCTCCTTTATTTATTTTTAACAAAATCATTGCTCTAGTTTGTTATGCACCTTTTTCTTTTATTTGTTTCTTCCTCATCCCCGCAATTTTCCATGAGCTGCTATTACTGTTCCAAAATCTGATTTGACCTATACTAAATCAAGTGATATTGCCAAAAGTATTTGCTCATCTGCCTTCAGACGCATACGAGCTTGAGTGACATCCCATTCTTAATCCATAGGGTTTAATACAATGTCGGTCCCACCCTTTGCAGCTATAACAGCTTCAACTCTTCTGGGAAGGCTTTCCACAAGGTTTAGGAGTGTGTTTATGGGAATTTTTGACCATTCTTCCAGAAGCGCATTTGTGAGGTCAGACACTGATGTTGGACGAGAAGGCCTGGCTTGCAGTCTCCGCTCTAATTCATCCCAAGTGTGTTCTATCAGGTTGAGGTCAGGACTCTGTGCAGGCCAGTCAAGTTCTTCCACACCAAACTTGCTCATCCATGTCTTTATGGACCTTGCTTTGTGCATTGCTGTGTAGTCATGTTGGAACAGGAAGGGGCCATCCCCAAACTTTTCCCACAAAGTTGGGAGCATGAAATTGTCCAAAATCTCTTGGTCTGCTGAAGCATTAATAGTTCCTTTCACTGGAACTAAGGGTCCGAGCCCAACTCCTGAAAAACAACCTCACACCATAATCCCCCCTCCACCAAACTTTGCACTTGGCACAATGAGGTCAGACAAGTAACGTTCTCCTGGCAACCGCCAAACCCAGACTCATCCATCGGATTGCCAGACGGAGAAGCGTGATTTACTCCAGAGAACACGTCTTCACTGCTCTAGAGTGCAGTGGCGGCACTTTACACCACAGCATTCAACGCTTTGCATTGCGCTTGGTGATGTAAGGCTTGGATGCAGCTGCTCGGCCATGGAAACCCATTCCATGAAGCTCTCTATGCTGTTCTTGAGCTAATCGGAAGGCCACATGAAGTTTGGAGGTCTGTAGCGATCGACTCTGCAGAAAGTTGGCGACCTCTGCGACCTCTGCGCTCTGTGCGCCTCAGCATCCCCTGACCCCGCTCTGTCATTTTACGTGGCCTACCACTTTGTGGCTGAGTTGCTGTCGTTCCCAATCGTATCCACTTCCACCACGACTGGACTTGTTGCACAGGTGGGATCCTATCACGGTACCACGCTGGAATTCACTGAGCTCATGAGAGCGACCCATTCTTTCACAAATGTTTGTAGAAGCAGTCAGCATGCCTAGGTGCTTGGTTTTATACACCTGTGGCCATGGAAGTGATTGGAACACCTGAATTCAATGACTTGGTTGGGTGAGTGAATACTTTTGGCAATATAGTATAGTTTCAAATAGACTTTGTTTTATTTACCACTCTCTGCGTCTCTTTTTTGCATCTCTGTCCTCACTGATTATGTAAAAGCACACATTAAACATGTGTTATAAAAGGCTGTCTGTACCAAACCTCAGCTAACGGGCAAGGCAGCTACTCATACATGTAATTAGACAAAATACAGTCAAATGTATCAGCTGATTTCTTAATAATGTTAGATACATGATCCTATACCATCAATATGCCGGTTAACAGTGAACTTATTCATGCTGATTGTACAACCCCAATTCCAAAAAAGTTGGGATGCTGTGTAAAATGTAAATAAATGTAAATAAAAACAGAATGCAATGATTTACAAATCTCATAAACCCATATTTTATTCTCAATAGAACATAGAACACATATCAGATGTTGCAAGTGAGACATTTTACTATTTTATGAAAAACATTAACACGTTTAGAATTTAATGGCAGCAACGCATCTCAAAAAAGCTGGGACAGGCTGGAAAAGTAAGTGGTACTAATAAAAAAACAACTGGAGAAGCAATTTCCAACTAATTCACATGACTGGGTATAAAAAAAGCATTTTAGAGAGGAAGAGTCTCTCACAAGCAAAAATAGGCAGAGGTTCACCAAACTAAAAAAAATCTAAAAATTGTGGAACAATTTCAGAAAAATGTTCCTCAATCTAAAATTGTGAAGACTTTGGATATCCCACTCTCTACAGTACATAATCATAACATAATATCATTTAAAGGTCCAGAGAATCTGGAGAAATCCCTGTACGTAAGGGACAAGGCCGACGGTCAATGTTGGATGCTCATTATCTTCGGGCCCTCAGGCAGCACTGCACTGAAAACAGATCTGATTCTGTACTGGAAATCACTGCATGGGCTCAGGAACACTTCCAGAAACCATTGTCTGTGAATACAGTTTGCTGTGAAATCCACAAATGTACAAATGGTACATGTTAAAGCTGTATCAGGCGAAGAAGAAGCCATACGTCAATCCAGAAATGCCACCACCTTCTCTGGGCCAAAGCTCATTTAAAATGGACTGAGGCAAAATGGAAAACTGTTCTGTGATCAGATGAATCAAAATTTGAAATTCTTTTTGGAAACCACGGACACCATGTCCTGCGGACTCAAGAGGAGAGGGACCATCCAGATTGTTATCAGTGCACAGTTCAAAACCCTGCATCTCTGCTGGTATGGGGTTGCATTAGTGCCTATGCCGTGGGCAGCTTACACATCTGGAAAGGCGCTATCAATGCTGAACAGTACACAGAGGTTTTAGAACAACATATGCTTCCATTCAGACAATGTCTCTTTCAGAGAAGGCCTTGCATATTTCAGCAAAACAATACTAAACCACATACTGCATCCATCATAACAGCATGGCTTCGCAGAAGAAGAGTGCCTGCAGTCCAGACCTTTCACCAACAGAAAACATTTGGTTCATCATGCAAAGAAAAATCTGGCAAAGAAGATTCATAACTGTTGAGCAGTTAGAATCCTGCATCAGACAAAACTCCAGCAATTGGTCCCCTCACTTCCCAGATGTTTACAGACTGTTGTTAAAAGAAGAGGGGATGCTACACAATGGTAGACACGGCCCTGTTCAAACATTTTTGAGATGCGTTGCTGCCATTATTTTTTAAAAGAGTTAATGTTTTTAATGAAATGGTAAAACCTCTCACTTTTAACATCTGATATATGTTCTATTGTGAATAAAATATGGGTCAATGAGATTTAAAAATCATTGCATTCTGTTTTTATTTACATTTATTTACATTTTGCACACCGTCCCAACTTTTTGGAATTGGGGTTGTAATATGTTATGTGTAGGTAACAAAATAAAACTTTAATTTCTCATCTAATCACTAATATAGCCAACTACAGTGGCTGTAGCCTAAACTGAGCAGCTACTGGATTTAGCTATCAACATTGTGAGTGCTCCAAATAAAACATGAATTATGGAGTTTGCATCCTACAAGCAGAAAATGTAACTTATGCTCATAAACTCTTAAAGTTTTACAATAGTGATATTATATGTTAGCCTATAGCATGTGTGCCGCATGCTTGAACACCTCAAAAAGTCAAAGTTACTCTGGTACTCAGGCCAATGTAACGTCATGTACAGAGATGAACAGGCAGAGAGTTTAGGGCCGAACCACAGCTGTTCTAAGAACCTCTCACTGCTCACTGTGTAGTTTCATCGTTTTTTCCACATTTAATGTAATAAAACCCTTCAGAAACCTCTGAGGACATAGCTAGCCATGGCCATGCTTACACCTTAAATGAAAATTACAGCACAACTGCTAACAGGAAAAAATTAGCCACAATGCTTTGAGGCATATTGTTGCTGTCTAAATGTTTTTTCATTTTTATTTCTCTTCTTCATTTGAACACAGCAGCTGCCCTTGTGCTAAAGTTTCATGATGAATGGACCAACAGAAATGCTCCAAAATTTACTTTTTCCATTAACTTAAATCAAAGGTAAAGAATGTTTTTGTCTTCTCCTGTAAAGTTACTGTTTTGGAGATGCTTGTTTTTCTTAGGACAGGGACAAAACGAATAGCCTAAACAAATGTTTTTAATCTGGATTTTAAAAAAAGTCTAGAAAGTTTGCATTCCTAATATTCTCTGGAATGCTATTCCAGAATTTAGGAGCTATTTCAGAATGATTATCCACCAACTGAGCTGTAAATGATTCTAGGCATTCACAGTAAGCCTGACTCAGCAACGTGGAACACTTTTATTTTTATAATAATTTTGTAAGTATTATACAATCACACATTCATAGCTTATTGTGTACATTTGTATAATTTGCTTGGTCTGTTTGGCCTGATAATGAAATTAATCAGTTATGTTAACATTTGTTTTGAATGTTGTTGGTCTTTTGATGCTGAAAATAAAGTACTGTAGTAATAGCTTATAAAAAAACAAATTACTAGGTCTTAGAACAGATTTTAAATGATGAATTTTCATTGATGAAAGCTGAAGGCTCTGCAATGAAAATGATTTTTGGAGTTATGACACAAATCTAATGAGTTACTATAACTCTATCCTCCAAAAGTTAGCAGAGTTTACCATATTAGTAATTACAACACATTTGCACACCTTCACATTTCACAATATTTTACTGAGTTAAAATGATGTTCACTGTGTGTTTCCTCAGTAAGTCTTGCCTCTCCAATGACCCTGCAGGAAGTACAAATTCAAATTGTTGGAAACAGGAAATGTAACTGCTTTTATGGAGTTGGAACTATCACTGACAACATGGTGTGTGCTGGATTTTTGGCAGGGGGCAAAGGCCCCTGTCAGGTAATCTCTTCCTAATCTCTTCGCTGCTGGCATCCTCTCTTATTCCATTTAAAGATGATTATTGTACACACACACATATCTATCTGGTTCTGCACAGGGAGACTCTGGAGGTCCACTGGTCAGCAAACAGGGCGGTGTTTGGGTCCAGGCAGGCATTGTGAACTTTGGTATTGGCTGTGCTCAGCCAAATTACCCTGGAGTGTATGCTAGAGTGTCTCAGTACCAAGACTGGATCAACCAGCAGATCACCAGCAACCAGCCAGGCTTTGTCACATTCACTTCCACTGGCACTGATGGAGACCTGAGTGTGTCCTGTGCTGGCCTGCCTGCTGTTGCTACAACCACTACAACCACTACAACCACCACTGTCCCCACAACTACTGCTTCATGTAAGACTGCTTGCATTTATGTTACGTAACTAAATGCTAAAACTCATATTGACCATTCTACCAAATTTGTTTCAGTTCTTTCAGAAACATTCATATATTCAGCCCTAGGATTATGTTATAATCCATTTAATTGAGCATATGTATAAGTTAAAGTTAACCCTATTGTCGTTGTCCAAAGAAAAACAAGTATCTTCAAAATAGTATCTTTTACAAGAGAGGGTAAATTTTTTACTTGTCAATATAAAGAGGTTTTATTCCATGCAATTTTGGAGCATCTCTATTGGTTCATTAATCACGAAAACTGAAAATCACAAAAAATGGAAATACTCAAATTTTGATTTCTTTTAAATTGATGTCAAAATATGAGTTTAATTTTAAAAATTTAAAAACTTTATTTAAAAATTGCTGTCCCACATTTACGTTCCCCCAAATACTGTGGCAGTAAGTTTTCTCTGGTGGTTTAGAGATGGGTTTGCTTGCTTTGTCTGTTTAAAGTTAACTTACTTACTGCAACATGGCTGAAACTAAACTTACAACTTACTAAAGTTGAACGACCCGCTCAGCATCGGCTATTCATTCTACTCATTCAGGCTCCTGTATGGAATCACACTGCTTATTATTCAGTCAGACTAGCTCATATTACCAACTACAAGTGTAATGACAATGATGTGACTCGCAAACGGAGGATAACAGGTGTGACTGGAAACCACACAGGTTTACCACCACTAACATATTTAAAGTTTGTTTGTGGCTTTGGAGCTGAGCAGAATACACCGTCCTGCCCTCTGTCATGGTATGGGGTCTCTTTTAAAAGTCACGCAGGTCAATCTCTTAACCAAAACATTTGCATTACTGTAACACATTACTTTGTGCCGTGTTAGTCCCAACACTGGTGAGAGACTATTTAAGATAGTGCACAATTGGTTCTATATGTCTTTCATCATCATTCTTTACAAGATCACGAGGCCTTGTCTAGACAGACAGCTCAAATCTGATTTTTCAGCATATCCAAGTTTTTATATCAAGTTTTCTGCAGACCAAATGGCAAAAAAGCCACACTAAATCTGTCTTTTTCCAGTCAGATTCAAGCCACATTTGTAGGTGGTTTTGAATCGGATTCAAATCTGATTTCCAGTCATGTCAGGTTTCATGTGTTTTTGTCATTCAGGGGTGGTGGTTCATAATGTCAGAACACGTGACATGAAAGTCAGTGGTGCATATTCATATATTATAGCTTAAACATGGAGAACAGAAGCTTTTAAAAGTCTTTTAGGTAACATTTCCTACTTTGTATTAAAGCCTGTCTCAACCAATGTGGATATGTGAGCAAATGCAACTACAGTCTGACCATACAAATCAGATTTGGTCAGTTGTAACCTGAAGTTTGAAGAGTTGGTCAAACAAGTCAGATACAGTAATCAAACCCGATTTGCTTTTCTGTGTGAACAAAGCCCAAGACTAGTCTCAATGCTGAGAATTTTTTGTTCATTTCCTCTCTTGCTCCAGCTGTGGTGTGTGGCAGTGCCAAGCTAAATGCTGTTACAGGAGGGGGCAACTCCTTGGCATCTGCAGGTGTGTGGCCATGGACGGCCAGCCTGCAACGTAATGGTACTCATGTCTGTGGAGGAACACTGGTAGCTGAGCAGTTTGTCTTGAGCTCCGCTGATTGCTTCTCTAGGTAAAGCCACAGCAACATGATATATACAAATTGAGTCAGTTAGGTCAAAACCAAATCAACACACATTAGTGCTAGTTGTCAGACTTGATGTTCTGTATCTCACAGCTCCACCAATGCTTCTGACTGGACTGTAATTCTGGGCCGCCTCAAACAGAACGGCTCCAATGCCAACGAGGTTTCTGTCAACGTGATTAAAATCTCACTGAGCACTGGTACAGCGAACAACATAGCAGTACTGCAATTGTCTCGTAAGCCAACACTTACGGACTATATTCAGCCCATATGTGTGGACCTGGGGAGCAACAGTTTCCCTATCAACACTCAGTGCTGGGCGTCTGGCTGGGGTTCAGGAGGTGGAGGTATGTTATTTGTGTGTGAAACACTATATGAAATATGTCTCTTTTCAAATCATTCCAATGGATGTCATCAATTTTCTCTCTCATGTTGTTCTCTTTGTGCTATAGTTGAGCAAACTCTTCAGCAGTTCAACACTACTATACTGGACTGTGGGAGCGCATCCTCATCTAACAGTAGCATCTGCACAGGAGTCATGCCTTTAGAACAGGTCTCTAATTAATCTATTTTTACAGTAGGCATAAAATGGTATAAAAAGTCCACCTGTTTTGGATGAGATCCTCAGTTGAACTATGCACTTTTTTCTTTAATAATGTTCAAAGAATATATATTTTGGTGAATGATTTAAAAACCCAAATTGATTTTTTGTCTTTGCAAGCAAGGCAAAATATAAAAAAAGATTTTTTTTATTGTGTTTAAATCCTATTTCTTTACAGTACATGATAGTTTTAAGAACTGAAGAAAGCTGCAGTGTTATTTTCAGAGCACTTTTTCTCAGCACGGTCATCTTTGTGGAGAGGTGTGAATAGTTTAAACAGCAGGTGGTTCTCACCCCTCCTCTTTTACCCCTAACTTCTCACTAGCAGCTCAACACAGAGTCACAACAGTGTCCTAGTTCATCTGATAACAGAGTTAAGAAACTCTGTCTCTGAAATACTGACTCATAATCTTTCTCTCTCACTCTCAGACTAGTATAGGAGGTCCTCTGATGTGTAAGGTTGACCAATCATGGGTCCAGCCTGCAGTTTTGACTCTGGCTACCAAGCTGTCTCGTGCCTCAGATGTTCAGGTCTTCACTAAAACATCAAGCTTCTCAGAATTCCTGCTGACGGTAGTGGACACCTTCCCTTCCAAAGCCAACACCACATCTAACAACACCACCACCGTCAGTCCAGTCAGCTCCAGCGCAACTGAGTCATCTACATTCTTCTCCGTCATGTCTCTCCTTCTTCTCCTGCTTTCTGCTCTCATTCAAATGTTCAGATAAGAATGATTGTGTTAGCTCACTAAAGTACTCAGAAAAATAAACTATCAACCCAAGGGACGAGTGCAGTACTGTGCAGAAGTCAGAAACCACCCATAATTTATTTAATTTCTAGTCAAAATAGACTTTAAAAAGACCTACTTTCAGTTTTTCAAAGAAATCTGCAGGGATATTTTTCCACACCTCCGAAGTTCAGTCTTAGAAGTTAGTTGCCATTTTTGTCCCTCATGATCCAAATAATCCCAAACACTTTCAGTGATGATATTGTCTGGACTGCATTGTTCTGAGAACATCAGCAGCTTCTGTGTTTGATTTGCACAACAGCTTCTTGACAGCTACACATCCTTTCAGACTCATTGTGTTGTCACAGTGGAAGGATGGACAGAAACACCTGTGGATTTTTTCAGATCTGAAGTAAGAGTGGAGCTTCATTTTCCCCTCCCTCTCAAAGATGAATGCTTTAAGTACTGTTTATCTGATGGTAACAAATTTGGTGGCCTGTTTCTTTATAACCTTTAAATAACTCCTGTTTTTTCAATTATTTTCCTTTGTGTTCCCCCTTCCTTGTGCATGTGGATCATCTTATAACTAATCTCATCAGAAATATCTCCTGAAAAATGTACAACTTGTACTAAATGTCCGGTTTTGACTGGAAAATAAATAAATTAAGGAGGCTCTAAATTGGCACTTGGTCTCTTCTACAGTCCATGCTCTCCAGTGTAACTCATATCATTAGCTAGTTATCATAATCCTTCATGAGCCCTTCTTTAAAGATGTATACATGTTAGTTAAATGGTGGAAGTGACATTCATCAGGCTTTCTGCAGATGGTAATTAGGTCTAATGGTGGTAAAGTTTAAGTGAGCTTATCAAAAGAAAAGTGAAGACCCATATTTTGTCCTTGAGGTCTGGTTTTAATGCCAAGCAGATTATTCAGGTTTCATTACTCACTCCACCGTCTAATGTTTCAGATGGTGAAACTAAACAAAAATTGCACTCTTAAAAATAAAGATGTCAAAACAGGTTATTTGGAGCAAAGCATTTTTGGTTCCCTAAAGAATTTTCAAATTGATGGTTCTTTAAAGAACCACTTTTGTAAATAATATGTGAATTGTAAAAACCTTTAAAAATGTATACTGTGGTATACTGTAGCAATGGCCTAGCAAAACTTTAGCAGCCACCTTGGATAAAATAACAGCGGGTTAGTAATACATTAGCAACCACCTCCAATATCTCAGCAGTAGCTTAGCAACACCATAGCAACCACTTGGGATACCATATCTATGGATTGGCAGCACCCTAGCAACCACTTTGGATACCATAACAACTACTCAGCAACACCTTAGCAACCCCCTGGGATACTACAGCAATGGCCTATCAACACCCTAGGAGCCACTTGGGATAGCATTGACTAACATGGGCGATGCCCCAACCTGACGAAACTTTGGGATGTGTTGAAGTCACACTAATTCATCTCTGTGATGTTTCTTATCATGCACTCTATAATGTGTTCTCTCATTCGGCTTATTTTACATTGCCCATGCAGTAGCAGTGCATTGGTTTATAGCACAGCTGCTGGGGTAACAAACTGTTTTCACTGTAGACAGTGCAGGTTTTTTGACTTTTTGCGGTCAGGTCGTCTGGATCAAAGCTGTTAACAGGTGATAATTTATCCCAATAACGGTCCCTGGCATCCCTGCTGAGTTTGTCTCGTTATAGACCACTGTAGTCGTGCGTCATTCCGTAGTCCTCATTATGCCCATATTAGAAACTAAGCTCCATTTCTCTATGGCCAGAATGAATACGGTTTTAGAAAAATCGCCTCTATCACATCCTGTGTTAAACAAACATGTTCAGAACCCGATACGTTTTGTCCTGTGTAAATTTTTTTCCTGAATACCACTGGAAAATCATGCCTTTCAACCCTCCATGAAGCTGAAGTCAGCTTATTTTTCATCAGCTGCTTGTTGGAATTTCCCCGTTCCACCTTAAATGGCGCAGCATTTCAGAACGTGATTGCTGCACCACTTAAGGTGGAACGGAAAAAGTTGAATAAAAAGCTGGCTAATGTCCTGAGAAAATGTCCTCAGAAAAATGTTACCAGCATTAAATAATTATGAGGATATTCCAATAGCCGAGATCAGTTTATCAGCGCATGAAACCTGCTTAAGGAGGCTTAAGGAATTCAGTGCGCAGTAGCTTTAGCTCACATGTAGCAATATTCATATTTCAACTCTTTAACGACCTCGTGATTCAGAGGATCCAGAGGTATTCGAGAGAAGAATGTTCACAGGACAAAACGTATCGGGTTCTGAACGTGTTTGTTTAGAGGCGATTTTTAGAAAACCCTATTCATTCTGGCCATAGAGAAATGAAGCTTAGACACGGAGTTCCTGGTATGGGCAAAAGAGCATGGCGCCGACTACAAAATGACGACACGACTACAGTGGTCCATGGTTTCCTCTCACTTTTCTTCTTCTTCTCCGGTTTTAGTGCTTTCACTGCTACCAAAGAGTATAAAAGTAATGCTAGTTCTTTGCTGCTACTATCACTGTATCACTCACTAAAACAATACCTCCAAAATGGAGCCTTGGTGGCGTCATAGACACTAAACACCTGTGACTGACAAAGACTGATACTAGTGAGATAAACAGGAAGTTAATGCTAAGGACTAGGCTAGTGGCACAACAAGGCAAAACATGAAAAAAGCTTAACATACAGGCATATAAACAAAGACAATGGCAGGCATATGGGAAGAATTAGGAAGCTAAGCCTTTGCAGGATGATAGGCCTAGGCTAGGCAGGACAAGATGCTATGAAAAGGCAGGAAAAGAAGCTAAGGCTAGCTCAAGACAAGCTATACAACTAAAGAAGGAGACTGGCAAGGTAAGAGACACATGAAGGTGAAAGGCTTCGCAACTAGAGTCTCGGAGGCAATGGATTATAAGCAGCGCAGCAATGAGCAGGGAAACGAGTCACATATGAGAACAATGTTTAGGAACAAGTTCTAAAGGCCTATAGAGGATCAATCCACAATGGATTGGTCGACTGCTGATCACCATGAGGGGGGAACTGTAACAATTCTAAATGGTTCTTGGTGTAGACGTATGGCTATAGGAACAACTCCTTATTTGATATACATTATTTTAAAATTTAAAAACGTTTCTTTACTTTTGCACAACTTGTTTACAAAAATGGATCTTTAAAGAATAATCCACTAAATGGCTCATTAGGGAACCAAAATCTGTGGATCTATGGTTCTGGTATTGCTCCTAAAGACCCTTATTAGTTCAATTTGGCACCTTTATTTTAAGAGCATGTCCCACTGAAAGCATATTGAACATACAGTAAATGCATACATGTTGAACACACATCCGTGGACCTCTACCACACAAGTTCACCCAACATAGCACAAAACATACGAGACATAACTACACCACACAGTTATTTATAAACTGTGAGGAAGTTGCTGTCATGCTCTACAAGATTTCCTTACCGTATAGTTACTTGCTGTATGTTGTACTGAACAATGTGGAGAACTGGTTTGGCAAGCATTGTTCAGTATGTGTTATAACAGCATATTTGGAGAAAGTGTCACGTTAATGGAGTAAGACAGCTGTACATCTCATCTACTCACCTTTCATAGGATTGTATTATTACTGACATGTGAAAACCTCTTAACTCTATTAGATGTCCTTCACACTGTGTGATCATTTGATAATGAATGGACCAATAGAAATTATCCATACTTAAAACCTCATTATATTAACATAAATTAATGTTAAGAACTTTTTGCCTTTTCTAGCCAAGTTACTGTACTGGAAAGAGGACACAGATGATATCATTACTGTCATTTTGAAACATTGCAACTATAATGTTTTTTGTAGTTTCTAATTTTTTAACACTGGTGGGAAATGCCATAATGAAAGCATGTCACAACATCTTCTTTGAGTGATGCCATAGAAGAACCAAACTCACACATCTCATTTACATAAATGGTTCTATGAAGAACCATCCACTGAAAGGTTCTTCAGAGCAGGGGTTCTCAATTCCATTACTCTCAATACTCTAGACACCTGACCCAGCCAACGAGGAGCTTGTTCATTAGTTGAACCAGGTGAGCTCAATGAGACAAAGCACAAAAATGTGCATAGTGTTGGGTCACCGGGACTGGGATTGGGAATCCCTGCTTTAGGGAACCCAAAATTGTTCTTCTGTTCTAGGGCTGCTCAGTTGTCGTCCTGGAGATCTACCAGGAGAGCACAGATCCAACACACCTGGCTCTGATATTCAGACGCTCCTAAAGACCTTCATTACCTTAATCAGGTGTGCTAAGTGTGCTGAACTCTGCAGGGTGGTAGATTTCCAGGACCAGAATTGGGCAATTTGTGCTGGAGTGTCATTAAAGCAAAAGGGGGACATACATACTAACAAATTCTATAATTTATGTAAATATTTCAATAATTTCCACTTTTCAATCAAACTGTAATGCTGATCATTTGTAATGAAAAACTTTGCATTAAACTAGAAAAGTATACAAAATAGAAGCATTTTTACTAGTGGACCCCACTGTACATTAAAGTGCCCATATCAAGGAAAACCGAATGTTTCTTGCTTTTATAAAATAAAAATGTAATTTTTGTTGGATGTAATATGTAAACATTAAACTTTCAAAACATACCATTTACTTCCCAGTCTATATGGTCCTGTTTTAGGCACATAAAACCATTCATAAATGGACCTTATCAGAAAACAAAAGCAAAAAACTGCAGGCTATAAGCCTTTTAAAGAGCATTTCTCCTTCACTAATACAGTTACTGCTTCACAGATACAAGGATTTTTTGACAGTGACCTGTAAAGTCACTGCAGTCTAGTCTTTGTGAAGACTGAAGCATGTGAGAATGATTGCCTGGAGGCTCTGTCTTTTAGGTGATTAGGACATTTATGTTGTTCATTAAAAAGAGCACTTGTCATAGAATAGGCTTCCTAACTAGACCCTTAAGGTTTCTGTGTTATCTGTGTGATGCTTAAGCATGTTTGTTAGATAATTATGAACTGCCTCAACTACTTACTTCATTTCCAGTATATGCACAAACCAAACCTGTTTGACCTGTCCACATCATTCCTACATAGCTTTGTTTGACAGCACCATCATGTCGGGGAAAAAACACTAGCATGACCTTGCAGCTTAGAGAGTAATGAACCTGAAGACAGGAGCGTAGGCCTGGGTTGAGCTGGCATGTTCAGACATTTTCACACAGGCGCATTCATTCTAGTGTACAACGATAACAATGGCGTAGTTAGTAGTTATTATGGGGTTACTAAGGTAAAGGAGTGTGTGCACCATGTTAATAAGAATGACATTATATGTAAGCCCCCAACACAATGCACTGAAAACACATACACTGTATGGACAAAAGTATTGGGACACCTACACATTACACCCACAGGAGCTTTCATGACATCCCCCCATTCTAAATCCTTAGGCATTAATATGGAGTTGGTTTGCAGCTATAACAGCTTCTACTCTTCTGGGAAGCTTTCTACAAGATTTTGGAGTGTGTCTGTGGGAATTTATCCAGAAGAGCATTTGTGAGGTCAGACACTGATGTTGAACGAGAGGGCCTGGCTTGCAGTCTCTGTTCTAGTTCATTCCAAAGGTGTTTGATGGGGTTGAGGTCAGGGCTCTGTGCAGGCCAGTCAAGTTCTTCCACACCAAACTCACCCAGCCATGCCGTTATGGAGCTCGCTTTGTGCACTGGGGCTCAGTCATGCTGAACAGAGAAGGTTCTTCCCCAAACTGTTCCCACAAAGTCAGGAGCATACAATTGTCCAAAATGCCTTGGTTTTCTGAAGCACTAAGATTTCCCTTCACTGGAACTAAGGGGTCTAGGCCAACCCCTGAAAAACAACCCCACAGCATTATCCCTTCTCCACCAAACTTTACAGTTGCCACAATGCAGTCAGGCAGGTAATGTTCTTCTGCCATTTGCCAAACTCAGACTTGTCCATCAGACCATCAGATAGAAAAGCGTGATTAGTGTTTCCACTGCTCCAGAGTTCAGCAGCAGCAGGCTTTACACCACTCCCACTCCCATTATGCCTTACAATAGGGGCGTCCAAAGGGTGTCTTATCCGCAGAGGGCTGGTGTGGCTGCAGGAGGTCACCTGATTGAAGGTTTGAAGACTAAGACCAACTGATTAAACAATTAGAATCAGGTGTGCTTCAGCTTGTTTGGAGTGAAGACCTGCAGCCACACCAACCCTTTACGGATAAGATTGGACACTCCTGCCTTACAATGTATCTCTCCAACATAAATATATTTTTTAAAATGCATTTCTCAGTTTTGCATTTTGGACTAAAAGCTTATGTCAGAATTATTACAAAACATTGTCTCAGGCACCAGCAATGTATTCAGAATCAGTTTATGTAACAACTACCCGTGAAATAGCTTTTAGAGGCATTAAACTCTTCAGACATCTGGCTCCTATCACCACCACTGTCAACGATTCTTACTTGGTAAGCTTCTCTAGAATGAAGCATTTCACATCAAACCACTCTGATTGATTCTGTTCACATCTTTACCATTTAATTATGCAGAAATTTAAAAATCACAGAATTCCTCTTTAAGGGATTGTAAAAGAAAGCATTACCAAAAACTGTTTAACCTAAAAAAATTGAACTGATGTGCAAAAAAAGAAATTACACCAGTGACATGGAAGCAGGAAACTAAGCACCTAAATGTACAATGTAATGATGTACTTCAATGAACTGTGAGCTGACAGTAAAGGAATGTATTTCTTGGAAAAGTTGTCTGAGTTCTCCTCAAACGAGTTGAGCTGAAAAAAAATGGAATGAAGGACAACTTGTCCAGTCATTACCATCACTGCCTTTTGTTCCTAACAGGAAATCTGCAAATAATAGACGCCTTAATGAGTCTTGCTATGGTACAGCCAAGTACCTGGGAGCATGTATTTCAGGATGTTTATAAAATACACTTATTTTATAATTATTTTATATATTTATTTACATTTTTAGAACAGACATTAAAACTGGTAATACAGGAAAAAGGAAATTTGAAACGTGTCTTGAGCGTAAATAAAGGCACCATTGGAGCAATGCCATAAGAACCATGTTTAGTTAGAGAACCTTGCAATTTGATGATTCTTATGTACTCTTACATCCAAAACCAAGAAACTTTTAGAAACATATATACACTGATCAGGCATAACATTATGACCACCTCCTTGTTTGTGTGCTTATTGTCCATTTTATCAGATCCACTTACTATATAGGTGCACTTTGTAGTTCTACAATCACAGACTGTAGTCCATCTGTTTCTCTGCATACTTTGTTATCCCCTTTTACCCTGTTTTTCAGTAGTCAGGACCCCCATGGACCCTCACAGAGCAGGTACTATTTGGGTGGTGGATTATTCTCAGCACTGCAGTAACACTGATGTGGTGGTGGTGGTGTGTTAGTGTGTGTTGCACTGGTACGAGTGGATCAGACACAGCAGCACTGCTGGAGTTTTTAAACACCTCAGTGTCACTGCTGGACTGAGAATAGTCCACCAACCAAAAATATCCAGCCGACAGCGTCCTGTGACCACTGATGAAGGACTAGAGGATGACCAACACAAACTGTGCAGCAGAATGTGCTGAGAATGATCCACCACCCAAATAGTACCTGCTCTGTGAGGGTCCATGGGGTTTCCTGACCACTGAAGAACAGGGTAAAAGGGGGCTAACAAAGTATGCAGAGAAACAGATGGACTACAGTCTGTAATTGTAGAACTACAAAGTGCACTTATATAGTAAGTGGAGCTGATAAAATGGACAATGAGCATAGAAACAAGGAGGTGGTCATAATGTTGTGCCTGAAAGAGAAAAATAGATAAACAGAAAGTGACAGAGAGAGAGAGAAAGGGAGGGAGGTGTGGGTGTGTCTTTAAGAGGTGCGGGTGTGTCTCAGTCTCAGGTGCTGAGGAAGTGTATGAAAGTCTGAAATGTTGTAAGACGGTTTCATTCTAAGTGACGATGATGTTGACGCTGAGTTTGGCGCTCATAATCGGCTTCCTAGCCAAAGGTAGGTTCCTAATTTGGCTTGTTCATGTGTTTTTATGTGCTCCTGCTCATTTACCTACTGAATACAGATATGTGTCTTTATTTCAGACCGGTTGAGAACAGAACTCACTTAACCAGTTCAGGCATACAAGGAAAAAAAGAGCATGTTTACAATTAATGACTAATTAAAAAGCACTTAGACCAGTTTCAGACAAAAAAACACACAGTCATTGTATATTTCTACCAGAGGCAGAGTTGTTAAGTTGTTCAATGGCCCTAGGCAACACATTAAATGCCTCCCCCACTCAACACATCCTATCTATCCACTACTTCTCCTGTTAATACATAAGAAGGAACTATGTATTCAATAATTCATTAATGTATAAATTACACAATGCACAATTTTACACAATAAATCTTTGGGTTTTTTTTGTATTGGAAGTTTAGACATTTAGACAAACAATTAGAAAACATGCATGAAATCCACAAATCTAGCCTTTGAATGATGTTAGAAACATTTCGTACTATATACTCTATAATAAATCCAGCTATGAACAACATACTAAGAAATTCCTCTGCAATATCCATAAAAATATGGTTAAAAATGAACATCTACATTTTATGATTGCAGGTGTTCTAGTGATTAGAGAACTTATGTTCAAGAGCTGATTTTTAGAAAATGGATTTTAGAATGGGCCTCAGAACTGCATTGTCCAGTGAGATCTCAGAAAACATGGAACATTCGTGTGCATGTTGTCATTAGTACAAAGTATATAGACATATTTGGATACTCTGGTTAGGTGCTACAGAAAAGTAGTCTTTCAGCGGTTATGACCTGACGTGGCTATGCTGATTGTGAGTGGAGCCTAAGCCTTCATTACATTAACATTTGGAAAATGCACATATTTCTGTTGAGTTTTGATATTTTTTAATGATGACAGTTTAAGAAAAGATGTATTATACAGTCATGCAAAAGTTTGAATGACGTTTTGTAAATTTTCCAAGTGAAAATAAGTTATCGCTTCCTCTACAGAGAACGCACTTCTGTTATAACTGTTTAAAATAGCTGTTTATTTGCTGAATTTAACATACTGAAAAATAAAACAGAAAATGTGGCTTGTGCAAAAGTTATGGTGCATTTTACATTTTGTATTTTATTATCTTCCAATATGTCAACTCAGCAAATAAGTAGAAATTGAGCACTGAAATGTGCAGAAAAATGTCCCAGCCCAACCCATCACATGTATTTATTAAATTCCATCAGCAGCAAATTGTCATTGTCCAAAGAAAAACAAGTATTTCCAAAATGGTGGGTTTACAGCAAAAGGCAAAAACATTCTTTAGTTTCAGTGTAAGTTAATGTGAAGAGATTTTATTCCAAGCAGTTTTGGAGCATTTCTATTAGTCCATTCATCATAGAATTTCCACACAACATAAAGAGCAGTTGCCAAAAAAGTGGAGAAACATGTTTTTCTTTGGACAGTGACAATATATGATTTAATTTAATGAACTGCAAATAATACTGGATTTCCATAAGGAAAGCTCTGAAAATGGTTAAACAAACTTTGCGGGTATTCTAATATTTGTGTTTTTTGAGTAAATAAATGCTTAGTACCCAATTAAATAGCTTTGTGAATATAATTTTCTGAGGCATCTACACTGTAAACTTAATTCATTGCCTCACAAAAATGAAGCACAGTTACTTAACAGGTCCAAGCTTAAATAACTTTATACTGGAGTCATAGTTACTTTCTATTGTTTAGATGTTATTGTTTTAGCATGACAATATGCTACGACACAAAATACTATTATGAAAAGAGAAGGTCTACAGACTGAAGAGTCTTTTGCCCAAAAAGCTGGGCAGCTTTTTGGGCAAAAGACTCTTCAGTCTGTAGAACTTGTCCAAATTGATTGATCTTAACTAGCTTTATAGAGGCATTATACAAGAAATAGTACAGATAAGTAAAAAAGAGTGTAATTTTTTTTGTACAGCATAAACATTTACACAGTAATGTTTAAATTACAAATTTTATTTCTAACATAAAAATAAATAAGTAGCATGTTCTCTGTAGAGGATGTGTTCACTTATTTTCACCATTCAGCCAGGGTTGCCCGAACTTTTGCTATTGTGTGTCCGCTGTCCTATTATCAAAAGAGACACTGTATTTAGTTTAGATAGCCATTCACTTTTCTCAAACAAAAGATCTGGTCTGATCCTGAGCTCTCTTCACACCTCATTACAAAGAAAGAAAAAACAAAGGAAACAACAAAAGGCAGTGGCAAAATAACAATATATTAGACACACAACATAACCTCAGCTATTTATGAGGCTACAGGAATTCCCTTGGAATAAGTGTGATCCCTGAACAAGTTTTTTCTTGCAAGTTAGTCTGTAAACTTGAGTGTTAATGGGAAGAGTATTCACCGAAATACACAATGTCCTAAAACAGATAAAAGATGAAGAGATAAAAGATTCAATAAATATGCTACTCTTGAGTTTTGCTTCATTGACTTCTCATCTTTTCACTAATCTACTTGAACTTGGAGCAAAAAATCCACTGTAGTTAATCCACAGTAAATGTTACTGATGAGTGAGCATTGACATTGTTCTGTTTGTTTCAGGGTGCCACTCACAGTTGAATGGTAAGTTATTTCTTATTTTTATTTAATAATCTAAAACAGTGTTTGAATAATCAATAATCAATTTTCAACTACACAGCCAATTTAGCTTTGAAATAATTGGTAGGAAGCTGTAAAGAAATTAAGAAATGTTAGATGTGTCCAGAATGAAGAACAGAGTTGTGAATGATTCTAAAATACCTGAGAAAGATGTAGAACAATGAGAAAGAAGTTATAATAAAATAAACATCCATAATGCCTCATGTTCTCATATTTGAAAAGGGATTATCAACTCGTGAGACAGACAACTTGACAAAAATACTGTAAATTGATGATTACAGTATGTAAATTTAGTATATAATACCTCAACGCCTTTGAAATATTGAATAAGACATATAAAAATACTTTTTAAAGGATTTTAATTTATATAGTATAACAACTTATTATACATTCTCACTGTCTTAACAAAATGTTGCATCTCCAATTTTTGGTGTTTTTCTTTTTTTTTCCTTTCTTTTTTTAAGGGCCAGCTTCCCATTACATTGTGTTAAAATTTCGTGAGAAATGGACCAACAGAAAAAAAGAAGTCTGACAAAATCTTGTTACATTAACTTACATTGAAAGTTTAGAATGTTTTTTCCTTCACTTGTACAGTTACATTTTGAAGAAACAAGGTGTTTTTAGACAGCAGCAATATAAAATAACATAAATTATAAATATAATAAGTAATGCCGAACAAATCAGTCCAGTCTGGGTCAAATACAAAGAGCTGCTTGTTAAAGTGGGTGGAGTATGAAGTAAATTAATTTTTTCCCTTACTTTTTGTCAAATGCAAAACAAAAAATGACTAACATTGCACCTATTAGTCAATATCGAAACATTTTAAACTGTGTTTAGGCTGGCTTTAAACAATGTAAACTTTCATGCAACTTTAGTTCCTTGAAACTTAAATGAAACTAAATTGCACTCAAGTTGCATGACGTAAAGTGTCCTGCAACTCACTTAAAACCATGCCGCAACAGCTGCAAGCATCTCAACTTTGTCAAACAGGTTTCATGAAACAGCCAATCAGAACGCCAGTAACGCGTCACAGGATCATGTCGAACAGCATTCTTTTAAATACCTGATTTCACCAGATCAAAAACCAGATCGCAAAAGATTAAAAACATTTCAAATATATCATCAAGAACAGCTGGAAAAATGATAACAATATTTCAGGTAAATAACTTGTGGAAGACTATATGGGGAAGTCCCAGCATGCAACTAATTGCATTAAGGTTTCATCATGTCAAGCCAGCCTTAGTTTAAGAGAGAAGAAAGATGGTGTAAGATGAAGTCTTTTCCTTGACAATTAAAGTAAGAAATATGAGCGGTCCTGCTTTACTTTAGTCAGTCTTTCTTCGTTACACTGTGTGATGCAATCCACACCATCCTGTTCAGTTGCCCACCTAACTAGAATCTAATCAGAATGTTGCTCCTCTCTCTTTGTCAGTGTGTGGTGCAGCTCCTCTAAATACCAGGATAGTGGGAGGACAGGATGCCACTGCAGGTTCTTGGCCTTGGCAAGTTAGTCTGCAGGATAATGGTTTTCATTTCTGCGGTGGATCCCTCATCAACTCTAACTGGGTTCTAACAGCGGCCCACTGCTTTGCAAGGTTTCACGCTGAATAAAAATTCTGAAGAGTCACTTGTAATACTGTGACGAGAACATTTATCAGATGGTGATAAGAATGGCTTTCTCTCTTTTTATCTTTTTTCAGTTATGTTGCTTCACAAGTCACCGTGTATCTGGGTATGCAGTCACTGTCCTCAAGTAACCCAAATTCAGTGTCCAGATCTGTTCTGCAACTCATCGTACATGACAACTATGATCCAGTGACGCATGACAACGACATCGCCCTGCTGCAGCTGAGCTCTAGTGTCGCCTTCACTAATTATATTAAGCCTGTCTGCCTGGCTACAGCCGGAAGCACGTTCTTCAATGGCACTCTGACCTGGGTCACTGGCTGGGGAGACACCTCCAGTGGAGGTGAGAAATGAGGACAGATTTGTGAGGGAGCTAAGCTTTATATACTTTATCAAACTGAATCCGATTGAGGCTACATCCTATGTACCTCATATGGTGGATTCACAACATACACTGTCATAAATAGTGTAAGTGCCCAAAATAAATCCCTTATGGTAGTTTACTAAAAGAATACTTTAAAGTTAGGTTATTTGCTGGTCAGCTAATATGCAATCCTACACTGTTCTAAGGGCCGGATGTATGTACGAGCGCAAGTGCAGTGCAAAATTTGCTTTGATACAACCTTAATAGGTGCCCCCAGTGTGCTTGAAATTAGTGTTTGATTTACTAAAGCTGCAGCTTGTCACACAAACTGTACGTAGCCCTGTAGCTCCATAGCTCCATCTATCACTATGTCTGCTGCCATTGTTAAATAGTCTCTGATCTTTTTAATTGATGCAAAAACCATCCGCCGCAAGTTGTTCGAACTGTAGTAAATCAAGCAGAATATGCAATCAGTCACATGTGTAATATCTCCAACCACCTTTTTTGCAAGGCCCTCCTATGGTTTTCATGGCTCTCGCTCAAATGCATATTGTTGTATGCAAAAATTTGAGCACTTGGCATGTTTTGTTGATTTTCTTAGAGAAAATAAGTTGACACATTCTCTCATTTAAGATCTTTTAAAAAATTAAAACTTTAAAACATGGCCTGGGCAAACGTTATGGAAGATTTTATTTTATTTTATTTCCAATATGTTGAACTCAAATAAATAGAAATTTTGCACTACAATGTCAAATGACGTGTTGTGTTAACACATTAACACATCATCTACAGAGTATACACATTTGAATGCCGTTTAACATAACTATAATATGCAGAAAAATGCCATGTTCAAGTGTCGCTATAGAGGATGCATTAACTTATTTTCATTAAGAAAATCAATAAAACACGTCATTTTATGAGGGGTTGTTTTGCATACAACTGTATGCATGAGAAAGGGAAGGGCGTTTTGCATTTTTGATGCTAATAAAATCTGCTTATGATTTTTACAGTACACATAGACTGGAACTTGGCCACACTTTGCTGATCCATCATTTACAGTTTGGTGGAAACCTAATTAATTTAGTGTGTATGGCCACAGACTAGAAACATAAAGAAACATAAAGGCCTTTCTGAAGACTTTCTGGGTCAGGAAGATTAGATTTATATTAGAATTGATCTCTCTAAGAGGGTGGATTTGTAGGAGCAGAGCTGGCATCCCATTAACAAAGAGCATGATATAATTACTTTAATGAGATGTGATCATTACACCACAAATTGAATTAGGTATTTCGCACACAATTTTACTTTAAGGTTTGTAGATTTTATAATATTTGCAATTACAGCACATTTTCACACCTCAATGAAATTTCATGACATTGTAAAATGACACAGTTGAAATGACGTTCAATGTGTGTTTCCTCAGTAAGTCTCGCCTCTCCAATGACCCTGCAGGAAGTACAAGTCCCAGTTGTTGGAAACAGGAAATGTAACTGCTTATATGGAGTTGGAAAGATCACTGACAACATGATATGTGCTGGATTGTTGGCAGGGGGCAAAGACTCCTGTCAGGTAATCTCTTCCTAATCTCTCCAATGCTGGCATCCTCTCTCATTCCATTTAAAGATGCTTATTGTATACACATAGATATCTATCTGGTTCTGCACAGGGAGACTCTGGAGGTCCACTGGTCAGCAAACAGGGCGGTGTGTGGGTCCAGGCAGGCATTGTGAGCTTTGGTGAAGGCTGTGCTCTGCCAAATTACCCTGGAGTGTATACTAGAGTGTCTCAGTACCAAGGCTGGATCAACCAGCACATCACCAGCAACCAGCCAGGCTTTGTCACATACACTTCCACTGGCTCTGATGGGGACCTGAGTGTGTCCTGTGCTGGACTGCCTACTGTTGCTACAACCACTACAACCACCATAACCACCACCACTGTCCCCACAACTACTGCTTCATGTAAGCAGGGGTGGGATAGTGCACTACTCCTTAGCTACTTTCAAAGCGCGATTGTCAGAATGTTTGTGTATCTCCACCTGACACACCAAAAAAGCCCAACTGACAGTGTGAACAAGACACTGCATTTAATCATGTGCCAGAAAGAAACCTACAATTCAAAAGCTGCACATATACAAAAATATCACCAAAAAGTGAATTTAAGTGTAACCAATAATCAAACTTACACAACCGAAGGCGATATCCAACAAAAATTTAGACTAAGTAAAGGCAAAGTCAACCATTCCAGGTTTTTCCTAACAAAGATCAACAAAAATAACTGGATACAAACCAAACAGTTTAGTGCAAAGCATTGTCAACTGTTGAAATAAAACTGCTCCTATTTAAACATTTCAGCAAGATCTGTACAGACATGACATTCAGAGTCCTTTGTAAAACTTCAGCAACACTTCAGCCTCAGAACTCTCATCAGTGACCCTGGTTCTGTTTGGGGTGAGAATCAGACCTGAATAATCTCTCCACTGCTGCAGAGCTGTTGTGGCTCCACAGCAGAACTAGATTTTTAGGTAAAATAACATAATAATCCTCCTTTGCTGTAAAATCATTATAACACACAGTTCTAACACAGTTTTCACAATAAATGGTCTTGGAGTTAATGTATTACTGCTAATTCATCAACCTTTAATGTTGAAGACTGACGCATAGACTGCTGGTCACACAGCAACGCAGATAACGAAAAAGCAAAGAGAAAGATTTAAGATGAACTTCGATAATTTGGAGATGAATGAACTCATTTGCATTTATAAGCGCTCAGCTGGTTTCCTCATACGTTTAAGCTACAACAACTTGCAAAGCTGAATTCGCTACTCATTCACCAGCTTCTCGTTCGAATTGTCCCATTCCACCTTAAATGGCGCAGCAATACAATCTGGCGACTCAGGCAGCATTTAAGGTGGAACAGGCAGGAGAATGAGAAGCGACTGAAAAAAAAGTCGAAAACTGAGAGACATTTTACAAGAAACTCGTGGTGAAGTTAAGCTTAAAGCAGAGTAAAGTATGCGTTTTCGTTTCTATTATATTAGTAGCCTGTACTAGAACATCAGCACATACTGAGACATATTTACAGCCAATATGTTAAAACAGATATAAAATGTTGTGGCTCCCAAGGTGGTTTAATTTTTGTTGAAAGGACAAAATAGCTCTTCTTAACATTTCGGTTGTGACCCCCGAGTTAAGCCTACTAGTAAGGGGTGATCAGTGCATGACCCTTTGCTCAAACTGTCCGCTGCTCAGTCAGGATTGCACAATCACCACCATCCCAGTTAATGACTGCATTCAATGGTTCAGATTTTGCGCGGATTGCCTGAAGCCTGTAGCGAAATTGTTGTGAAAATTTTTGCTATACGTAGACAAAAATTTAGCGCTACAGCTATTAGCTACGTTTCATAAAGCTGTAGCGGCTACAGCTATTAGCTACAAAAATTTGTAGTTAGCTACAAAAAGCAGTGCACTACTTAGCTACTCCCCCATCCCTTCATGTAAGATTATCTACATTTACTGTGGACTGCATCTGGAGAAGTCTCTGTGACCAGAACTTCATTATCAGGCAAAGGGAATAGTTGAAGGCAAACTGCTAAGGAAAATTAGTCATTAATTATACTTTATTTCCTATCTTGCTCCAGCTGTGGTGTGTGGCAGTGCCAAGCTGAATACTGTTACAGGAGGGGGCAACTCCTTGGCATTTGCAGGTGTGTGGCCATGGATGGCCAGCCTGCAACGTAATGGTACTCATGTCTGTGGAGGAACACTGGTAGCTGAGCAGTTTGTCTTGAGCTCCGCTGATTGCTTCTCTAGGTAAAAACACAGAATTATCAATATGAAACTCAAAAGTTAAGTCAGGAATCGAAACCACATCAACACACATCAATGCTAACTGTAAGATTTGATATTCTGCTGTACCTTATCTCACAGCTCCACCAATGCTTCTGACTGGACTGTAATTCTGGGCCGCCTCAAACAGAACGGCCCCAATGCCAACGAGGTCTCTATAAGCGTGACCAAAATCTCACTGAGCAATGGTACAGCAAACAATGTAGCAGTACTGCAATTGTCTCGCAAGCCAACACTCACAAACTACATTCAGCCCATATGTGTGGACCTGGGGGACAACAGCTTCCCTGTTAACACTCAGTGCTGGGCAGCTGGCTGGGGTTCAGGAGGAGGAGGTATGTTTATTTCTGCATGCTGTAGAATCTGATTTGCTGAGTCGCATCATATAAGTGCTACACACATGTATGACATACATATCCATTAAATAATGGACTAATGCTTCAGATTAATATATTCCAGTGTGCTTTTGACTGATATTTGGCTTTTACTTTTATGCTTGGCAACCATAATCTGCGTATAAGAAGCTACACTGCTTGGCAGAATAACTGTTTATTATGATTATAAGTAACAGATGTTTACGAGTCACTTTATGCGGGTCCAAATCGCGTCTCGTGTCACTGGGAGCAAATTAGAGTCAAGTCTCACATGTTTAGTAGGGAATATTTGTTTAGTCTCATTATTAGCTTTAGCACTACATGAAGACAAATGCAACGTGTCAATGAAAGAAACAAAACAACTGAAACCAGTAGGTCAGTCTGTAGTTTGTATAGTAGCTTTGATAGGTAGCTTGCGTAACATCCAGTGCAGTTTTGGTTAGTTTTATGGGAATGTACTTCAGATGGATTAGCAGACCACTACATGTAAATTAGATACCACACTAGCTAGAATACTTGCTATCCAAACTACACGGTAGCCAATCATGTCAACTTGTTTTGACCCTTTCAATTAAAAACAGCAATTTCTGCATTTGGCATTTTATTCTGTCCTCCAGATTCAAAGTTTTTGCCGCATTAAGGTTGGCAATGCTAATTTAGTCCACTTTGTTCATTTTCTTAGGCTGAAATTTCACAAGTCTTAAGTCTCGAGTTGCAAATCATTTAAGGGCAAAGCAGGAAGACACATCAACATGCAATTAAAGTCTGAGTCAGTTACTTGAATCCCCATAACAGATTAATCATAATAAATTGTGTACTGAACATTGTCGTATTTTATCACATTGTATTTTGCTGCTGTGTCTAACAACACCACTTGACTGTAAAATCACTGTAAAGTCATTACTTCTTTAATGTATGTGTCCATTTCCAATGGATGTCATCACATTCTGTATTTTTTAGAAGTTTCTTTTGCCTTGGTCTTCTTCCTCATATTTGTTTTCCTTCTGCTGTAGTTGAGCAGACTCTTCAGCAGTTTAACACAACTATACTGGACTGTGGCAACGCATCCTCATCTAGCAGCAGCATCTGCACAGGAGTCATGCCCTTAGAACAGGTCTGTATATTAACATGCTTTTAAATCCATCTGAAATCAATTTTATTATTACACTACAATGAATTTACGAAGTACAAGAAGAACAGGAAACTACAGGTGTACTGTTGGATTTATGGATTTGCTCTGGGGATTTTTGGTATGTTTAAAGCACCACCTGGATCGCTTTTCTACTGATGTGAAAAAGCAAGTCAGGTCACATGCACACTGTATATATTACAACACTGCTACCAATGTGTACTGCTGTACATTGTTTCTGATTGTACTGGATAACTAGCAAGCTAAGCTAGATACATAGATTAAGTTAATTTCTCAACATTTAGTTTAAGTTTGTCTTAGCTTAAACTTTGGAGGCAGAGAAAATCCTTCTTGTTCTTAAATGTTATCAAATGATTTGGCCCAATTTTTACGACACATTTGCATTTTACAAAAATGCTAATAGCAATACCCTACTTAGCTGCTAAAATGCTGCTGATTTTACAGAGCTGATGTTGACAAACTTTCCTCAAGGTTAGTTCACGTTTCATGCTAGTATATTAGTATGCAATATAATATAAACAACACTGACATTAATGTTTCTTGCTAATAACAGTAACAACTCATTATTTTCTATTTTTAAGAATGAATATTTTTGAGTTTTCAGTCACAGTCTGTGTATTTTTACCTAAAACCATGTCAGCATGTCTGTGACTGACTCTTCTCAACATGACCAATGAAACTGTGCTGCATGTTTTGCAACTCAAACTATGACTTAAGGTTTATCTTTGTCTTGACTTGTGAGGCAGAATACAATCTTAAATGAGAAAAAATCAAAAGAAGGTTTATGCAAAAAAAAAAAAGAAACATCTTTAGAAGTCAATATAAGGAAACCACTCAACAAAATGTGAGTGTACTGAGCAGTTGTCATTTTTGCATGTATACGCCATACATGCAAAAATGACAACTCCTCAGCTGATATGATTTTGATGGCATTTGTCACTTTTTCTTAAAAGTAGTCTTCTTTTAAGGCAGTATACCTTAGACAAAAACAACATATCATAGCAAAATCTTTTTCAGAATCTTTTATGCCAAAACAACAGGGTGGTTTGACTTTGTAAGGTGCAGTGTGCACTACATACTGAACAGAGCTCATTTATTTTGCGACCTCCCTCCTGACGATGAGTCCACTGCACAAAGCAGATTTCCAGCAGTTCTTTTAAAAAATATTTACAACAGCGTGTTTGGCAGTAGTTTGATAACATTTAGTTCTTTAGTTGTTCACAAAACATTGCTGGCTTTTGTTCACTTCCCAAAGAAATACAAAATGTTATGTATGTGCTTGCGGTTCAGAAAAAACCCTACTAAACACAAGGCTTTTTTCATAGACCAAGTTAAGTCTAAGGTTAAACTAAAAAGGTTTCTGAGTGTAGGCTCCACATTGTAGGCAAAACTGTGCCTGTAACACTGGCTCATAATCTTTCTCTCTCACTCTCAGACTAATAAAGGAGGTCCTCTGATGTGTAAGATTGGACAATCATGGGTGCAGGCTGTGGTTTTGACCCTGTCCAGCAACAGTGGCACTAACACTAGCTCCAGTAACAGCACCAGGACAGTTCGTGCCTCAAATGTCCAGGTCTTCACTAAAACCTCAAGCTTCTCAGGCTTCCTGAACGCTGTAGTGGGCACCTTCCCTCCCAAAGCCAGCACCACATCTACTACAACTACCACCACAGTACAGCATGTCATGTCTAGTTCAGCTGATTCATCATTGCTCTCCATCACATCTCTCTTTCTGCTTTCGCTTCCTGCTCTCTTTCAAATGTTCAGTTAAGAATGAGCACTCAGGAAAATGAAGAATCGAGTCAGCATTGAAAGGCTAAAATGTAACATCTCTTAATATATCTCTCAAATTCAAAGAGATACTTCTAAAAGGCAAGGAATAACAATCCATGATATCTGGGGTGAGGGATTTTAAAGCTAAAATACCATGACTTTGTATAAAAACTTGAGCAGAATATTTAGTAATTTTATCACTATCTAACTTGGCACTTGAAGTAACTGCTCTAGTCTGATGCACTAGCCAACACTACGTAGTGTAGATGTCTACATGTGACCTAAATGGTTTAAGCAACATACCTGTTATGTGCAGCAGCCATTAGTTTGAAACAAACATAGAATAGCCAGCTTTATTAGTCATTTTTGAAGTTCAAGAAAGCCAAAGTCTGTCTTTACCACCTTCCTCAGTTAAGGCTCTTAAGCTGAGGCCTATGTATTGTACTCTTTAAGTTCATTCTTAATGCATATCAGTATATCTTAATTTCTGTTCTTGTTTACTTTTACTTTGCTTTTTTCTATGCTTCATTTAGCAAAACCTAATGAAGTGCACTAAAAGATTTTAAAGATGGTTCTCAAATAAAAAAGAGTGGTAACACTTTCTATGAATGTCACCTTTGTAAGCATCTATAAACACATTCATAACATGTTATAATTTTTTCATAAATCATTATAAACATGGCTATAAATATTCATAAAAATGCATTACACGTTATAGCCATGCTTATTATGCATTATGAATTGTTAACATAATACATTATAAGTACTGTTCATAACAAATTATAAGAGCTCATAAGTGGTATTTGTCCGCTCTAAGTAAAGTGAAGCGTACTGTACTAAAGCCTCCTCCAGTGTTAAGAGTGAGGCTTCAAGTTAAAGTATTTACTGAAGGATTTACTGAAACACTAAAACATACACAGTAAAGCACATTACAGGCTTCAGATGTCAGAGTTTAAACTAGTGCTGCCATCAGTGCTTTACCCAATGTGGGAACGTTAATGTACACCACCGTTAGCTTGGTATTTGTCTTTACTTTGCAGTCTCCAAGCTGGGACTGACTTCTTAGGCACTGACAGTATAACATGTTATCAATACTACTTATAATGCATTATATTAACAATTCATAATGTATAATAAACATGGCTATAAAGTGTAATTCAGCGTAATTCATTTTTATAAATGTTTATAATCATGTTTAGAAAGCCATATGAAGGCATTATAACATGTTATAAATGTGTTTATAGATGCTTACAAACGTGACATTCATAGAAAGTGTTACCAAAAGAGTTTTTAGCTTTACAACAGTACATAAGTTATAATGCAGTGCATAAGTGCATAATCCAGAGAAAGCCAACTTCTTACACTGTACTGTAGACATAGCTATGTTATTTTTAATGGCAAAAACTAAGAAGACTAAATGCACCATATTAACTGTTTTTAAATAGCATTTTCTGGAATGTGTGCTTTTTGCACTTTAAAATGAAGTGAAAATACATGAAACTGTAAACTTTTTACTCCACTATTGTTGAAACTGTTATATTTCTCAGGGCACACACTGCTAAGGAAGACTTCTCAAACCAAATGGTATATAAATCTTACTGCAGCAACAACCTGGTTGTCTGTGTGTTCTATTTACATCTACTAAAGTAGAGTTAAGGTCTGCCTGGGTTGCACACTGTATCCATTACAACACTGTTACCACTATGTCCTGCCTTGTATCTGATTTTACTGGATAACTAGCTGGCTTAGCTACCTAAATAGACTAGGTTGATTTGTCAACATTTAGTTTAAGGTGAGGTGGAGGAGGCTTGCCATAGCTTTGGCTTTGGAGGCAAAAAATCAACAAGAAGATTCGACAATTGTAATATTTTCTTAGACTGAATTACCACTGGCTTGAATTCCAGGGCAAAATGGCAGTATTTTGGCACTGTGGCCCAAAATTACCACACTGCCAATTTCCACTATCAGGTCAATAATTAAGAACAACTGGAGATGTTAAGCATCTTCCGGGAAGAAATTGTAGGTCTATATGAGGATGGTTTAATGGAACAAAGAATCTCGAAGGATCACAGATGGGTAATTGCAGACATTAGCTGAGTCTTGGGGTCAGACCGTCTCCCAAACCAGAATCAAACATCACCTATTTGACCACAAGTCGTTTGGGGGGGTGCCAAAAGAAAGCCTTTGATTCTCATGAACCAACGAGCTCAAGCAGCTACAGTTTGCCAAATGTTACAGGAACTTTCAGTGGGTCGGTGTTTTACAGTCAGTTGAGACCAAAATAGAGGTTTTTGGTAACAAACGTCAGAGGTGAGTTTGGCATGGACACAAAGAGAGCCATGCAGAATAGTACCTCATCCCCACTGTGAAGTATGGTGGTGGATCTGTGACGTTGTGGGGCTGTTTTTCTTCCTATGGCCCCGGACAATTTATGTGGATACGTAGTTTCACAGACTCCATCAAGTACCAGCAGAAATAAAATCAACACCTGACTGCATCAGCCAGGAAGCTTAAACTGGGCCATAGTTTGAATCTTCCAGCAGGACAGTGATCCAAAGCGTGAAAATCAACACAAAAATGTCTCACACAGAATTAAGGTTTTGTCATGGCCATCCCAGTTCCCTGACCTAAACCCCACAGAAAACCTGTGGGCGGAGCTGAAGAGAAGAGTCCACAGTGTGGACCTCAGAATCTGAAAGATCTGGAGAGGTTCTGTATGGAGGGTCTCAGATCCTTTGTTATGTGTTCTTCAGTCTCATTAAATGTTACAGTGGAAGATTTAGTGCTGTTATCCTTGCAAAGGGGGGCTGCACAAAGTATTAAAGGAAGGAATTCCAACAATTGTGGCATACACAGATTTTAGAAAAATCTGTATTTCCTGACAATATTTAGGTTTGGTTTTTGTAATCATTGTACTTCAAACAAATGTTAGATTTTTGTTAATATTTTGAATTAAAGATCAAAAGCATAAGCAATAAAGGATGTTTTTACTGCCTGTGCTCATGTTTACCAGGGGTGCTAATATTTATGGGGTTCTAAATAGACCAATTGACTTTACTAAAGAATAATAATATTTTTTAAGTGTGTATGTAATGATTACTAATTATTATTATTACATAAAAGTAATAAAGTTGTATGCAAAAGTTTTAGTGCACAAGCAAAATTACATATTTCTTTAATGTTTGAAATTAAAAAAGAAGTAAACACAACCTCTACAGCTAACTACTTCACATCTCTTATAGTGTAAAGTCTCAGAAACTATAGTAATCTGGTCTAATTGTTCTTGTATTTTGGTCAATTACAATTACAACTACAATTATAAAGACATGACATGAGTTATTGTCACAACACTCATTATTTGACATGCTAGCAGAATTTCGATCTTTTATGAGTTTTTAGGGCCTCCTAAACTTTGTACATTTCTGCTTATACAGATCTTAAAACAAAGGTCACCTCAAAAACTGTCTACAGTGTCAGGGCTGAAAGTGCAATAATTGTGATGGTGGTTCTTTCTATTGCTAATTATTAAATAACAATAAATAATAAGCATAATTTCTGTCCTCTTGGGTTCATGCTGAGTTCTAAAACTCTGACACATGGCAGTTAAGGGATATATATATATATATATATCGCTGTTGTCGGAAACATCTCCAAAATGGAACCAGACCTTTTTCCAAGTCATTTTGGGTCATAAATTTACATACAATGAAAGGTTAACAAGTATTTTCAAATTATGTCAAAAACTGGGCGGTACGTAAAAATCACCGACCAGCCAACAAATTTGTAACCTGATTGGTACTAAAGGATTAACTACAAAACTCACGTGGAGATGTGGAGTGACGAATCCCGCTTCTCCGTCTGGCAATCCGTTGGACGAGTCTAGATTTGGCAGGTTGCCAGGAGAACGGTACTTGTCTGACTGCATTGTGCCAAGTGTAAAGTTTGGTGGAGGGGGATTATGGTGTGGGGTTGTTTTTCAGGAGTTGGGCTCGGCCCCTTAGTTCCAGTGAAAGGAACTCTTAGTGCTTCAGCAGACCAAGAGATTTTGGACAATTTCATGCTTCCAACTTTGTGGGAACAGTTTGGGGAGTTTGGCTCCTTCCTGTTCCAACATGACTGCGCACCAGTGCACAAAGCAAGGTCCATAAAGACATGGATGAGCGAGTTGGGTGTGAGTCCTGACCTCAACCCGATAGAACACCTTTGGGATGAATTAGAGCGGAGACTGCGAGCCAGGCCTTCTTGTCCAATGTCAGTGTCTGACCTCACAAATGCGCTTCTGGAAGAATGGTCAAAAATTCACATAAACTAAAACCTAAATCCTAAACCTTGTGGAAAGCCTTTCCAGAAGAGTTGAAGCTGTTATAGCTGCAAAGGGTGGGCTGACATCATATTAAACCCTATGGATTAAGAATGGGATGTCACTCAAGTTCATATGTGTGTGAAGGCAGATGTAGATGACCAAGACCAAATGTACTAAGGTATTCTGCCCTCAGTGTCTTGAGACCTTTGGCTTTGAAATGAAGCCTACCAAATGTCTTTTTGTATATGTCATGGCCATCATGACAGCTGATGAGATATGAATGTAAAGAAATTTCCAGCAGTGTCTCACATTTTGTCACCTCTGAAACCATGTGAAGAAACTCTACCAGCTTGCATCTACCCACATATTTTCATTGCAGATTCTTTCTTTTTTTGTCTGAAAACCTGATTTTACTTTCAGAGGATTTTAATAAGCTTCTTGGAAAATGGTATGTGGGCAGCTAAGTCACTCCTCAGACATGGCCAGCATTATCAACAAGCCATATATCAATTTTAATTCCACAAAATGTGACAATTAGCATGCAAGCATTTTACTATTACCTACTCTTTTATTTTATTAGCTCATCTGTTAGATATATAGCCAGAGCAAAATAATACTATTAATGGCCAGTATCCAAGAACACTCATCATCCATATTTACATGACCAGTTCCCAACCTCTCTTGATCCCTTTCGGTTAGACATGTTATATTATGCCTTAAAGCTTGAGATATGTAAATGAGCTCTGTTTTCACTGGCTTTCCTGTACTGTGTCTCATTCAGAAAATAGACTAGGCTGAAACACTCCTTATAACTTCAACTTCATGGACTGGGCTAAATAGGCTGAATAGCTATATATTAGCATATCATCGCTGTCCAAAGAAAAACATATTTCTCCATTTCTTTTCATTTTTACTTTTCTACATCATTTGAACATGTGTCCTTGTTGCGTCCCAAGGGCGTATGTTTTGTTTTGCTTGTTTCTCTTTCGTTCTCGCTCTCACTCTCTCTCTCTTGGGGCTCGGCTTAGGGTGGTTGTTTTTAGATCAGAACTGTAGCTCAGCAAGATGTTTGTTTTATGGCTAGTGTATTGTCTGTGCTTTTGCAGCTTTCTATATTGGACTGGGATGTA